AATACTCTGCAGGAAGACCATCCATCTGTTTTCTGAAGTATCCTCTCATGTGACAATACAGCGAGAGGCAAATGTTTTCAGAGACGGGTTGCCCACCTCATGAAGATGAGACGTGGGCAGACACAACAATTGCTTAAAAAGCTGCTGCAGAAAAAGAAAGGGATTAGTCAGCTCCCCTTCCTCACGATTAGGACAAAAAGTGATGGTCGATGTATTTTGATGAAGCACTGCAGTAGACACTGGGAAAAAAACAACCAACCAAACAAAAAAAACCCACCCAAACTTTCTAACAACAAAAATAATGAACTACTGGAATAGGTTGCCAGGGGCAACTGAGAAATCCATACCAACAGAGTATTCAGAGACAGTGCAGGCAAAACCAAAAATTACATAGGTTTATCTGCATTGTGGTATAAGAATGAAACAGATCCAATGCAGTGCCTTTTTTCTAAATTGTGATTTTAAAAAATGTCCATCCTTTCACAAAATGGAGATTTTATCTTACCAGTTTTGTAAGAAATTAAAATTTCAGCTTTTCAGTCAGCTTCAGCAATCATGATCTATTCTCACCCATTAATATTACAGCTTATTTATTTACAGACGTAAAGTCCTTTCTCTTTTTCACATGGCTCTCACGTTCTCCCTCAATGCCATTCCTCATATTTAAAAAGTAAGCAGTAACACAGATACCTATGCATAGCCAATGACAGCTGTGTACAGCCATCATTTCAGCTGAAGCACTCATTCATACCATTTATTTCATTGGTTTAAAAAGCACAGTTTTTCATATGAATAATTTTATGGACATAATAGCTGCCATTCAAAACATTCAGATTCTTGAATATAAATACATCTTTAACATCAAATATTATACCTCAGGCTGCAAACTGAATATTGACAAAATAATACAACTTTTGTAATGGTTTTGCACTCTGGAATTATACTTCTTAAATCAATGATTTCTGTATCTAGCAGATCATCACTGGAGTAGGCTTGCCCTTAACAGCAAAGGTTAAAGTTTCTCTCAAATCTATATTACTTACTGGAACTCAAACTCTATTACTTCAACCTCAAAACAATGCTTGTTTTGAGAAGAGATCAATGCTCAGAATTTGTTACTGGAGTTTAAAATAACAATTATTTCAGCACCTAGATTGAAGCACAAAATTTTGACAAGTGTAACTTCAGCTGGAGTCGTAACTACAACTAAACACAAAAGCATATACCTTTGGAAGAAAGGCAGAATAAAATAAAAAAGCTTTGTTCTCTCTTTGTTTAAAACTAAAGACAAAGAGGTGTGAAGGGATGAAATTGAGAAGCAGTAACAACTCAGGAAAGACACTGCTTTCCAGAGATTTCAGTAATTTCTTGGAAGGTGTCCAGCTACTTGAAAGATAAAACTAAACAGTCCAAAATGTGATTCTACAATCAAATGATTTTGTTGCATTCAAGGATAAGTCATGGAAAAGAACCAGCTCTAACCTCATTCTATTTGTATATTCAGTGACTTGCACATGGGAAAAAGAAAATCGCAGCAGCCATATTCTGAGTAAAAGTACGTTCTTTTTTCTGAATGCCCTCTTGTGTTCTTGCGTTTGCCTGAACTGGTTTTGAATACTGCAGTAATACAGATGTCACAGCTTCCCCAGGCAGCATGGACTTTATGGCAGCTACAGACAAATGTGCTTCCACTACGAGTTTCTGTACTCAACCCTGACAACTTCTGACTTATAACTTAATTTAATTCTTGACCTGCTCATTATCTCTGGAGCAAAGACTTGCAATTATTTTGGCAACTGGTATCCTAAGGACTATTTTGGCATACTCAAGTACTCACTAAAAGCTCCCAAGACGTCCAAGGACGTCAACCAACCTCTCCAGAAAATAGCATTCCTTCCATCAGCTAGAGCTTTTACAGAAAATCATGGGTCCTACAAAAATCAAAGAGACATCCAAGAAAGACTCTCTCTCATGCAGCTCTTGTAATATCAAGCTGTAATTACAAGTGTAATTGGAATTAAAATTTACTCCATATTGCTACTCTGATACAAACATTCATTGCCAAAAACCGTAGCAGCAATCCTCTCAGTCAAACTGGGGACAAACTCGTTCTATTCTTCCTTAACCTCTCACACTAGGCTAAATTTCAACGGAGAACAGAATTTGCAGAGAACTAATACAGCATCCCCTTGGGGATTTAAAGGACAAGACTATAGAAAGAACTGTTTCAAGTGAGTCCTTCATACTTTTAAAATATTTTTCATGTTCATGTCTTGCTGATAGGAACGCGAGTTGGCAATTTAGAGACATTTCTATCAGTGTGAAAGGTAGAATGAACTGTACTACAGAATAATCTACCAGGTCTGTGGTCCTCTGAACATGCATGAATGTCAATTACAGTCACTTTAATTGCTCCAAAAGAGACAACAATTGATTATACTCATCTGTTTAATTTCTTCTCCATCGGTACACATCTGGGTAAACTGCCACCTTCTGACTACAGAAACAGCAGTTATGTGGGCAGAAACATATAGGTATGTATTATTGTTTTGCCAGGTGATACTGGCAAACAGTAACAAACGTGTTCAATTAAGTAAAGTTCTCTTCAAAACATGCAGCTCAAGTTCACATCTGCAGACAGACTTCACATGGTTACTGACCATTCTCTACCCAGTACCAAGTAGACATAAGGGAAACAAGAAGCATGGAAGAAATTGGACCAATTTTAATAAAGAAATTATCAAAGTTTAGGAACATACTCTTACAAAATACTAGTCTATATCAGCAGAGGATTAATCCAAGTTTAGTTTCGCATCCAAGGATGAGCATCCCTTTAATTGCTCTGTTGATCCTCAGCCCATTTGTGGTTAGGTGTCAGCACCCCAGACACCCAGCACACCTTCAGACCTGGCTCCAGACACTTCTGGACATCTCTACGCACTCCCACCCTACCACAGAAGATACCCTGCTTCAGCCGCCACTGTCTGCCACTTCAGAAAAATGTGTTTAATTAATTTACGATACCCTCTGTCGTTGATACCTGTCCCTACATTGCTGCTCCCCACTGAGTCTTCCCAACAGTACAAGATCTTAAGGGATGACTCCAGTACCATATAGGGTGTCTGAAGCATAATCCCCGTTACAGCAGATTTATTCCATGGTGCAAAGTCCTTCTCTTCTCTCACCCAACCCTTTGTCAGCTGAGGTCTATTACACAGCAAATCTTGAATTCGCATGCAATTCTGGTTGACTTCTAAGAGACCTGCATGAACCCTGGATAGACATCTTACACACACCTCATCCCTGATTATGAACTCCTTCGTGGTCACTACCCAATGGTACCAAAGACCTATTTCTTCTGATGAATTTATGTCCACAGGGAATTCAGATTAAGCACTTTTGTGGATATTCTTCATGCTGTTCACACACAGGCTGAAGGAGAAAGCTCCTTATATTGTATTGCAGCACATGGCTCACAGGTATATACAGTTCATGCCACCATGCAGCATTAGATGTAGAAATTTCTGGGTTTAAAAAAAAAAAAAAAAAAAAAAAAAAAAAAGATTGGTTTAGTGGTTCAGATTTCTAGTGAAAAAAAAAAACCACAAAGTATGATTTTGCCTGAAATCAGCCTAAGGAAACATTTCCAAAGCTCTTGGATATGGGCTGCTGTTCTGCATCATTATGAATTATGAGGCTGGTAAATCTGTAGTACCTTTGGCAAAGCCAGAATTATATATATAATTAAATCAAATGTTAAAAAAAGAAAACTGAAGACCTCATATCTCATTCTCACAGGACTATCCCTATCCAATAACACCAAAGTAAAAGAAAACATCACTCTACTCTGCAGACGGAAACACCAGCAGAACACCTAATGGATATTTAACTGGCACAACCATTTGGAGTAGATGTGAAGCTATCATACATTCAGTTTTCTAATCATGAATGCATACATATTTTAGCTCTTCCACCTTCATTCTGCTACATTTTTTCCCTAGTTTTCTTTGGGAATTATGTGCCAGTTAATCAGGATTAAGACCATCCACTCACATTCACACTGCAGGAATACAAAATATGAACCCCCCCTTTATAGATGCAGATGGATTTTACAAGTATTCAGAGCATCTGAGCATAGCTTGACACAGAGGCAGTAGCACTTTCTATTTTCTTAACATCCTGCTACAAATATTTTAATAAAGAGCCTTTAAAAGCCCACAAAAGCCTTCCAGGCGTACCCTTTGATATAGGCTAAGAACTAGTTAACAAACAGTGGGAACCTAAACACTTCTTCCTCTTTCCAGTGACATCGAAGTATTTACAGCAGCCACCAGCTTCAGTGAAGCTGTCCTGTACCAGTACCCTAAAAAAATATTTGTATAAAGAAATACATGCATACAAGGGGTATAAGCATAATGAAAATATTAAACTGCACTTTGGAAACCTGGAGTGATTAGAAACCAGCCGTGTTTCCCCAGAGAAATTTCTGCCCCTTAGCACAATGTTACCCACTCCAACAACTTGTTTTTTTCTCTTGAGAATTATTTCGGGAATCCCCAGGAAGGCTTCTGTCCCTAGCATGAACTTCTGATCTGCAGAGACACATCTGAGGATGATAAAACAGAGGCTCAGAAATCACCCCAACCTTCCTATTAGGAGTAACCATGAAATGTCTCCCTCACCAACAATCTTCTGTTCGATTTTGTGCTTCCCACCATCTTTTTTTTTTTTTCTGTTTCTTTCCCCTGATGCCAAGAACTACCGCCCTTGCCCTTGGTTTCCCACTTCAGATAGACAGCTTACAAAATTGCTGCACGAAACCCAAGTGCTGCTTTTCCCACAGCCACAAGACAGGCTTCACTCAACGCACTCTGCGCTCAGCATCCACGCCAGCCTCCAAGGGAGAGCGATCATCACTGTAATCGCCGAAATGCCGAGAGCTTCCCCTGCGCACAGACTGAGGCGAGGGCAGGGATGGGGGGGGGGGGTTTAGACCCAGAGCGCCCATCCCACATTAAAAAGTAACTTTTTACGTAGCGGGGCCGAGCAGCCGGCGGAGCCGGGGGGCGGCAGCCACATGGTACGTTCCTGCCTCTGCCGCCCCCGCCGGCGCTGCCCTCCCCTCTCCCCCCGCCGCGGGCTGCGGAATGGGACGCGCTCGCTCCCCGGCCAGCCGGCAGCTGTCAGAGCGCGGAGGCCGCCAGCAGCCGGTGCGAGGCGTGAGCCCACTCTCCCGTTTAGGATGACTCACTGGAATCTGGCACTCATCTCTCTTTTTCTGGTAGTGGACGGAGAACAACCCAAAAGCTACACTGGGCTAGACCAAGGTAAGAGATTTAAAAGTCCTTTTTTTTTTTTTTTTTTTTTTTAACCCCCGAAGCCGCCCGACGCTTTGAGGGTGCCAGGCTGTGTACAAAAGCTGGCGCTGGCCCCGGCGCGGTGGGTGCCCAGCGCCCGGCCCTCCGTGCCACCAGTGGGGCCTTTCTGGCGCGAACCCTGGGCGTGCCACCCGGCTACGCCCGCGGGGAGGGACGCCAGGTCCACGGAGAGCCTAGAGACTGCGTTTCCTCCCCTGAACGCAACTTTTACGGCAGCGCCAGCACCTGCTCCTGGGAATAACAAGAAGGTTCTCAATATTGCTAAATGCTCCGGCTTTTGTGTTCTGCCGCCGGGAACGTAGCGCATCAGGCTCCCGCCACGGGCTCCGTGCGGGATTCATTCCCACGGCGGTTGTTTCACCACTTTAACGAGTTGAAATTCCACAGTCCGCAGAAACGCTTCCCTGTCATTTCCCCTCCCTCTGGGGGGTTCCCACAGGCCCGTGCCGGCGCGGTCCGGCCGCCCGCCGGCAGCACCGCCACCAGCACCGCGCCGGGGCGCGGGCCGCGCGGCACGGCGGCTCCCGCCTGCCCCCCTCCCTGCCCTCCTCCTGCCGTGGAGCGAAAATTCGGTGGGGCGGGAGGGCTTCTGCAGAGCCAGTGCGTGTCTCTGGCACGGCAATTTAAAGCAGAAGGGAGAAGCTGCTTCGCCCAGTTCTGAAATCCTGGCAAATTCCCCTTCTTCCATTTTCTGAGGAGGTACAGTGCTTCGAGCAGAGTTACCTCAGCAGATTTCTGCTGGGGCTGATTGACAGTTTTTAGCTGTGGTTTTAATGAAAAGATTTCATTGAACGTCTGCAGCTTCATTTCTGTCAGTCCAATGCCTTTTACCAAATGACCGATTTGAGAGGGTGACACCTTTAAAATTAACCCAGCATCATGTTTTTCTAAATCTGTAGAGTATCAGACTAGACAGTGCACATTGCAGAATCGCACCATCTTACCTTTGGATCTTTACTGGTCTAACTGCATTGAAGACATTTGGGTTGTTTTACATGTTCTCTGTACTGTGGAAAATGTTGTAACTGTAACTAGATGTACCTATGTTTCTTATACAGTATTTTTTCTGCAATGTCTCACATGTTCTATTGGTCAGACCTCCTGTGTATTGGCAATCAGTTTATTAAGAGTTGAGTTTTAAACCCACAAAGAACTGCCCTGACATCATTGCTATGAAAAGGGATCTCTACTCAAAGACGATGACATGTCCCACATCAATCACATCTACAGAGATGACCAAACAGGTATCAGCTGTTGACACTGAACACCACTCAGCTTCCAGGTAGTCAGCAAGACCCACACTCTGTTGACCTAGCATGAATATTTTTGGAGTGAACTCAAAGATGGCAGTAATAAACACTCCCCTGAGTTATTGCTCCTCCATGCAATCTTTTAAATAGATTAGGGGAAAACAGATTCTTATCTCAGAGAATTTAAAAGACTTTCTTACAGATCTTCAGGAAGAGGTAGGACAATGGCTTAACTTGTCAGTATGGATTCTACCTCATTTTCCGTCAGAATATGGTACATTTTTCCACTTGATAGAAGTGGAAAGGGTTTACCAGTATTATGCTTTAAGATTATTTCTTATCCTTTGGACAATTGCAGAGACTTCAGTACTTTTTTTTTTTTTTTTTTTTTCATTTACCTTTTTTCTTTGCATTAGATATGATATCTGACTGCAGGGGTATCAGTTTTTTTCCTGGGAAAGTAACTCTAAAGTGCAGTTCAAACAACAGATCGTTGTGATTCTGTCTTTAAGCACTTGATAATATTCATGCTATTTATTTTTAAATTAGTAGCTATTTAATATATGCAAGGTCTTAGTCATTTGCTACTGCAGCACATGTCATAATCTCTGGGGTCTGAACAGCTATTTTTGAGCCTGTCTGGCTAATGTCTAGAATACAAAATTATTCTGTTAACAAGTTGGCTCTTTCTGTTTTATTTTCATCTCTTCAGAGACATCAGTATATTATCAGTTTTCATCAGTATGGCTCTTTTCAGGTGGAATCTTCGCCCATTTAAATGAAGGCGATCTATGGTGATAACAGTTTATTGTAACTTGGCAACAAGAGCTAAAAAAATCAAGTTACATCCATCACACATGCAACCCTTGAATTGTGCTGCCCCATACTCAGCAAATTAAACCCTTGAGATAAATGACATTCTAGACTTGTGGACCAGTCAGTTTAATATCATTAGCTGGGCTCGCCGGTTGTCCTAATTACAGAAGTCCAAGACTGCAGGAAGCAGCTGCAAAGTCAGCACATGTGCAAGGAGCTGTTTGTAAAGGAGAAGCACATGCTTTAATTTGAGGCTTCTTTGTTGCAACATGAATTATTAAGGAAAAGTATGGCATTTAATATCACTGTTGAAAAAATGGTCTGGCAACAGTCCAGGCGATAAGATTTGTATGGGTTTTATGGGGTTATCACTGGCCTTCCTGTGAAGCTTCAGTTCTGATGTAATATTTTCACTAAGAGAAGGAAGCAAGCCCTTCCAAAGCTGTTTAGCTATGAACAGGCTCTTGGGCCATTCAGTTACTGGTGGGCTGGAAGGACAGGAATAGGGAAATTAGTCTTACTGCTAGACAGCAGCTAGTGCAGTTTTACCTACTGTCCTACCTATCTCACTGCAAATAGAGAATCCACTATCAATGTAACTGCATGCTCAAGGGGCATAAGACACATCGCTGCTACACTAGAATCAGTAGTAAACATCCCTAAGACACAGAGATGCTCAACTCCAGAGCTCTGATTGAGCCTAAAAAGATTAGCCACACACCAGCTAACTGGAGTCAGGCAGCTGCTGTGATGGGTGGCCAGGGATCCCCTCAGTGCTGAGTGTCATGTCACTCTTGCCAGTTCACCTCCATAAACTGAAGTCAGGAAAGGCAAAAGTTTTGCTGTGGTTAGTTAAGTGGATTTAGTCTTGTAACTGATTTAATTTAGAAAGATGAAGGTTCAGTCAAGTTCTTCAGCTCAGAAAATCAGCTTAAATAGAAGCTGCTTCACTTCAGTTCTCATTTATTTCTATAGATTTCATTTGAAAGTAAAACCCCATCCAAAGATGAAGAGCTCTAATCAAATCAACAAGGTTTTACACATAAGGAACATAGTAGCTCTTGATAACAACCTCTAGAAAGGTATAAAATTCATCCCAACTACTTGATAAACCATACTCTTCTGCACACAGGCATACAAAGATGGCTGAAATTTTATTCTCCGCTGCAACAAACACACTTAGCCACTTTCATGGTTCACTGTTAATGTCACTGCAACTCAGGCAGCTGTAGCTCTATTCATTGCACACTGAACAGTCAAGACTACCTCCTCCTCATTGCACAGTACTTTGTTAAAAGGTAAACAAACAGTACCTACAGGTAACGTTTTGAACAGTTCTATTCATTAAAGTGGTATTTTAAGTTGAACTGTACACAGGCACTAGTTTTAGAACAGGGGACATTTCGCACACTTGCTATATTGCTTTCCAGGGACTTCTTGTAACATAGCCTCACCAATTAAGATCAAATCTAATCTTAGTCTAAGATCAAGGATGTTCATAGGGATGAAGGTAAGGCAAGTATGATATGCAAAACAGGCATCCAAGCCTTAGACATTACCCTCTGCTGAGAGCATGTTTCTTTGCTCAGAGTAAAGAAGTCCTGGTTTGAAACATCTTGTAAGTTAGGATTGAATGAATCTGTCAGAGAGATACTATTGCTTTTTCGGCCTCCAATTTTTGTATTGTTCAACAAACTTGACCGTGCTTTTGTAACATTTTCAGTGCAATAAAATTTGAACCTTAGACCACCTACACCAGTGAAGAGTACAACCAACTAAACCATAAAGGAGTATGTAAGAAATGTGTAGTGTATCTCAGGATACATGTGTGAAAGTAGTGTCAGAACCTAATATAAATACAAGGTAATATATCCATTTCAATGACAACGGAATTTTCACAGACTCTTTTTTAAAATAATGTCAGCAATTTTTAGTTTCGATTTAATTATTTGGAAAGGACTAATGCCTTGTTCATTAAAATCTGTATTATTTCTTTATTTATTCTAAACAGTGCTTTATATTTTCTCCTAGAAAAAACCCACAGATGGTGCAGTTTCCAATGCACCATTTTAGTTCTTTCTTGCTCAAGCAAAATAAAAACAGTACTGTGTTCACCACAAAGTAGCTTTTCCCATACTTTTGAACTCTGTCATATAATTTGGACTTGTGAAAACTGATGTCTTTCAACAAATGCAACAACAGAAAAATACTTTTTTTGTTCTTGTTAATTTCATTAGTATGTGAAAAGTCTTTTCACTCAGTATCAGCTTGCTTGTTTAATTTTCCTTTGACTGTAATTAAAATTTCCAAAATTATGAGGAAGTATATTATGAAGTATGCTAGGCATGTATTCCCTTTAGTTTTTGAGGCAATTTCATTATTGAGTTATTGGCTAGTTTAGGAATGCTGCATTAGAGAAAACCTGTGTGGATAAACTAGTAACAGTTCAAAGGGAAACACTTGTGAAAGCAAAGAGAAAGACTCTCTAGAGCAGTTCCAGTGGATGACACATCTGAAATTTATCTTAGGCATAATCTGAATTTTTGCCTATACTCAACAAGCTTTGTGTAGCTTTTCCTTCCTATTTGTCCTTGTGTCTTTCCCAACCTTGTCATGTTAATGGTGTGTATTTGAGAGAAATGTTCTTATTCCTGAGGGCACCAGCAATGTTGGGTAACGTTTAGCAAAGCGTGTACCATCCAAGTGATGCACAGGTTACACAGAGGACAATACCATGATCCACAAGGTAAAGCAACCAGAGTAAAAGCCATCCAGGAGCAGGTCTTACTAACAGAATTACCAAGACTGTTGGTTTATAAGGAAGCTTGGAGCCGGTATCCACACAAAACTTGAAGCCATGTAGCAAAGGACAAATTTGCATGC